CACCCTGCCCCGCCCCACCCGGCTTTTGCACGCGACCACAGGGCTCCCAGCGCCAATCGCGCCCCGCCTCCCAGTCGCTCCCCCGCCCCTGCCCAGCCGGAAATTCACAAAATACCAGACATTGCACATTGCACGTGGCCGCTATTTTCTGAATTTTTCTACCAGACAGAGGGCCCGAAAACCGGACACCTGGCAACCCTAACAACCAGGGCTGCGGGTTCTGCTACCGCACCTGACCCGGATGAACGGATGGACCTGGACAGACCCCAGCAGCGCTGCCCCAAGTACGCTGCCTGGCCGGGCCTGCTCCCCCCAGCTCTGCCGCTCCGCTCCCACACCGCCCACCCGCCTTTTTTATTGACCCTTTCTTCTGCCTTTTTGTTATTGGCCATTAAACATGGGGTTTACAGTCACCAGCCTGTCGTCATGGTTATTAAAATTGGACCCAGGAGTCCTGGCACCCAGCTCCTCCCCTCTGACCCACTGGACCCCACTCCCTTCCTACAGAACCCAGGAGTCCTTTCATCCCCTCCCGCCAGCCACGACAACACTGGATGTGCCACTCCTCCGCCCCCCCTCTCCCAGGCATGTGGGGTTTCTGTGGGGTTGTTTCCCAGCTGCCCCACCCCAGAGGTGGCTGCATCTCAGCACCAGGCATTATTTATCATGAGCCTCTTCCTAACACACTGTAGCTCTCAGGCCTGGGCAGTGAATGTCCTGCCACAGCTGAGCAGGTCAAAGAGCGAGGGGACCCCTCCCCCCCAAAGTGAAACTGAGGCAACATAAAACTTCAGCCAGAGAGGTGCTGGGTCTGGCTGGTATTTCGCTGCAGCAGTGAAAGGGTTAACACAGGAAGCTGCTCATAAGGACTCAGTCTGGGGCAGCAGCTGCCTCTAGGGTGTGTTAGAGGAGCCCAGAGCAGCCCCCAGGTGCGATCAGAGGTTGATGGGCGAGCGCTGCCTGGACACATTGAGAGGCAGGCCCTCAATGGCTGAGATCAGGGCCCCATGGTGCCAGGTGCTGCCCAAACAGTGACAGCCCATTGCCAATGTGGTGTCCTTCTCCCCATTACAGCAGGGAAACTGAGGCACAGAGCGGGGCAGAGAGTTGTCCAGTCTCACACAGGCATTCTCTAGCAGAGCTGGGAATGGGTCCCCGGTATCCAGCAACCCAGGTTGGTCCCTTAGCCACAAGGCTAGCCTGCTATCCCACCGCTCCCACCAGCACACTCCCGGCAATGACTCCACCCTCTCTCTGGCCTTAGATTTTGGCCTAGATGTTTTCTTTCGGAATGGTTCCCTGTCGCCCCTCTGCCCTGGCCAACTTCCTCCTCCTCTGCCTTCCTTCTCAAGGGCTCCTCCTCCCCTGGTGTCCTGTGTGGGAGAGACCAGGTTAGCTGGGAACACCAGCTGCTATGCCCAGGGAACCCAGTGGAGGATGCTGGGCGTGGGGAAATCCCAGCAGAAGGCAGCTGCAATTCCGCCCGTCCTTCGTCCTCGCTGGGGTCCACCTGCCCGTTGGGCTGTCCCCCGGGGGAGGCGGAAGGGATTCTGCTCCTGCTGCGGCCAAGCACAACGGCCCAGCCTTGGGTGAGGTTCCTTTTCCACCATTCAGCAGAACCATGTCCGGAAAAAAGCTACTTCCTGCCCAACCATGAGGGGAACCAAGCACCCGCTGCAGCACCAGACCCAGGGGCCACCGCTGGAGAGGAACATGCCGCAGCCGGCAGGCGCATTAACAGAATCGTGGGATCCTGCCCCTCCATCCCTCCCACGAAGGGAGCTGCCGCCCACAGGAACTCCGGCCTTAATGAGCGTGTTGGTTTTCCAAGTGCCACCGGATCCTTGTTCGAAATGCCCCAGCCAGGCCGCTTGGCCAACAGGAGCTTAATCTCCATGGGAAAGGGGGCAGAGGGGTTGGTAGGGACATTGGGGCTCATTGCTGGGGGAGGGGGGTTCATGGGCTCTTTTAGGTCACCAATCTAAAAAGGGTCCTGAGTGAAGTGTCCTTAGACAGGGGTGTGATGGGTTGGATCACCGGCTTGGGATTCTCCCCCCCAGCCCCCAACCCAGGCAAAGAGTTGGGGTAACTGCCCCCCAGAAGAGCAACACAGACAGTGAACCGGCTCGCTCCTGGACAGCTCAGCTGCAAGGCTGTTGACCACTCCCAGGACACAGCCCCAAGGGGACCAAACCCCGAATAAATCTGAGTTCCATGAGTAAAAGCTGTACCCAGAGAACGCTCATAAGCTCAGCCCTTTTATCAATCAACAGGAGATACGCACAGTGGTTGCTCCCCCCAGGTAACATCAGAACATAAGAGCGGCCAGACTGGGTCAGACCAAAGGTCCATGTAGCCCAGTGTCCTGTCTGCCCACAGTGGCCTGTGCCAGATGCCCAGGAGGGAGTGAACAGAACAGGAATCACCATGTGATTCCCACCTGTCACCCACTTCCAGAGAAACAGAGGCTAGGGACACCACTGCTACCCATCCTGGCTAATAGCCATTGATGAACCTAACCTCCATGAATGTAGCTAGCTCTTTTTCGAACCCTGTTAAAGTCCAGGTCTTCACAACATCCTCTGGCAAGGAGTTCCACAGGTTGACTGTGCTGCCTGCAGAAAAACTTCCTTTTGTTTGTTTGAAACCTGCTGCCTATTGATTTCATTTGGTGACCCTTCGTTCTTTTATTTTGGAAACAAGTAAATCACTTTTCCTCATTCACTTTCTCCAGGGCAGTCATGGAGACCTCTGTCATATCCCCCTGAGGCTGCTGTTTTCTAAGCTGAAAAGTCCAAGTCTTTTTAATCTCTCGTCATATGAGACCCGCTCCAAACCCCTCATCATTTTTGTTGCCCTTATAAGCAATTGTTTACGAAAGGCCTGATAAAGAACAAAGGGTTTTATTAAGTTTAAAAGGTGAGACCTAAGTGGTTGCAAGTGAAACACTCAGATCAAGGGACGTTATTTCTGACATGCAAATTCTCACCCTCTAGTGGCACTGAGATCACATGCAGAGAGACTGAATCTGCTCCCCAGCCCCAGCTACCAGCCAGCAGCTCTTAGCTCATGCCTCAGAGGCTCCTACACTAAGGTCCCTGGTTCGATTCCACCTGCAGATGACTGAAAAGACCTGCCTGGTTTCAGTCCCTCGGCCCCGGTGGGCCCCTGCTTGGGTGAAACATACAGCACCCAGTCACCTGCAGCAGGTCTGTCCCCAGCAGAGGGATCGCTCTGAGGGGGCCGTTGGGAACGCCCTGCCAGGAGCCGGCTTTGGTGCAGAAGTTGACAAGTGAAGGCCCTTCTGTTGACGCTGCGGAGAGGAAATGTTTGTGGTGCCGGTCGGCTCTCCCCAGTCTGCAGCAGCGTCTCCCGGAGTCTGATCCGCCTCCCCGCGCTGGCTCCAGAGCCTGGCCCCTGGACCCCCCCAGCAAAGCTGGCAGGAGCAGCCAGCTGAGATCAGTGCAGGGAGGAGCGTTTGAGCCCTGAGGGGAACAGCACCCGACAAAGGGAGCTGCAACTTCGGCCCGTCCTTTGCCCTCGCTGGGGGTCCACCTGCCCTGGGGGAAGGGGGAGGGATTCTGCTCCTGCTGTGGCCAGGCATGATGGCCCAGCCCCGGGCGAGGTTCATTTTCCACCTCTCAGTAGAACCAGGTGTCTGGAAAGAAGCCACTTCCTGCCTGACCACAAGGGGAAGCAGGAAGACGCTGCAGCTGGCAAGCGCGTTAACAGACTCATGGGCCCCTGCCCCTCTGTGCCGCCCATGAAAGCTCCGACCCTAATGGGCACGTTGGGTTTAGGGTGCCACCGGTCCCTTGCTGTCGGTGCTGAAACAGACGAAGGTCACCGCTTCGAAATGCCCCAGCCAGGCCGCTTGGCCAACAGGAGCTTAATCTCCATGGGAAAGGGGGCAGAGGGGTTGGTAGGGACATTGGGGCTCATTGCTGGGGGAGGGGGGTTCATGGGCTCTTTTAGGTCACCAATCTAAAAAGGGTCCTGAGTGAAGTGTCCTTAGACAGGGGTGTGATGGGTTGGATCACCGGCTTGGGATTCCCTGGTGTCCCCCCCAACCCAAGCAAAGAGTTGGGGTAACTGCCCCCCAGAAGAGCAACACAGACAGTGAACCGGCTCGCTCCAGGACGTCTCAGCTGCAAGGCTGTTGACCGCTCCCAGGACACAGCCCCAAGGGGACCAAACCCCGAATAAATCTGAGTTCCCTGTGTAAAAGCTTTACAGGGGGGTTCATGGGCTCTTTTAGGTCACCAATCTAAAAAGGGTCCTGAGTGAAGTGTCCTTAGACAGGGGTGTGATGGGTTGGATCACCGGCTTGGGATTCCCTGGTGTCCCCCCCAACCCAAGCAAAGAGTTGGGGTAACTGCCCCCCAGAAGAGCAACACAGACAGTGAACCGGCTCGCTCCAGGACGTCTCAGCTGCAAGGCTGTTGACCACTCCCAGGACACAGCCCCAAGGGGACCAAACCCCGAATAAATCTGAGTTCCCTGCGTAAAAGCTGTACTCAGAGAATGCTCATAAGCTCAGCCCCCTTTATCAATCAAGGAGATACGCACAGTGGTTACCCCCACAGGTAACATAAGAACGGCCAGACTGGGTCAGACCAAAGGTCCAACTAGCCCAGTGTCCCATCTGCCAACAGTGGCCTGTGCCAGATGCCCTAGAGGGAGGGAACAGAACAGGAATCACCATGTGATCCCTCCCCTGTCGCCCACCTCCAGAGAAACAGAGGCCAGGGACACCACTCCTACCCATCCTAGATAATAGCCATTGATGGACCTAACCTCCATGAATCTAGCTAGCTCTTTTTTGAACCCTGTTAAAGTCCAGTTCTTCATAACATCCTCTGGCAAGGAGTTCCACAGGTTGGCTGTGCTGTGTGCAGAAAAACTTCCTTTTGTTTCTTTTAAACCTGCTGCCTATTGAGTTCATTTGATGGCCCCTCATTCTTTTATTGTGGGAGCAAGTAAATCACTTTTCCTTATTCACTTTCTCCAGGCCAGTCATGATTTTATAGACCTCTGTCCTATTCCCCGAGTCTCCTCTTTTTTAAGCTGAAAAGTCCAAGTCTTTTTAATCTCTCGTCATATGAGACCCGCTCCAAACTCCTCATCATTTTTGTTGCCCTTATAAACAATTGTTTACAAAGGGCCTGATAAAGAACAAAGGGTTTTATTAAGTTTTAAAAGTCAGACCTAAGTGGTTGCAAGTGAAACACTCAGATCAAGGGAAGTTATTTGTGACATGCAAATTCTCACCCTGAGACTTGTTCCAATCGATTGTCTTCTGTCACAAGCTGGGCAGCCACCTGGCTTGGGCCCAATCCTG